AGGCAGAGGGCCTTCTCGGTAGTGGCACCCGCTCTGTGGAACGCCCTCCCACCAGATGTCAAAGAGAAAAATAACTACCAAACTTTTAGAAGACATCTGAAGGCAGCCCTGTTTAGGGAAGCTTGTAATGTTTAATAGGTTTTTGTATTTTAGTGTTTTGTTGGAAGCCGCCCAGAATGGCTTGGGAAACCCAGCCAGATGGACAGGGTATAAATAATCAATTATTATTATTAATAATATTAAAGACAAACTATGTTTTTAATTCAGTGTGTGGTTTGGTCCTAAAACATCAATCCCATGCATACATACTCGGGAGTAGGACCTTTTGATTGTAGTGTGACTGACTCCTGAGTGAACATGCAAAGGATTCTGCTGTCCTACCCTGCACACTAATGATTTCTGGGTTGCCAAGCATCACCTGCTACTTCATTTATGCTCCCTGTAGTATCGCACAGGTTTCTGCAAACATTTCAATTCAGCAGTGTAACTATACTGTAGCTCTAGGTCAAGCAGGCCTTTGCTGCGAGAGCATTAGAAGTGATTGATAATTCACACATTTCCATAGCCTGCTGCTTCTCCAAAAAAAGAAAAGAAAAAAAAAGAATTAAAATTCAGTCCCTTGATAATTAGCTCCTTTTGTCAATGCTTCAGTTACAGTTTGAGAGGAAAATATTCTTAAATGTCAAGAACCATGCAGTCTGATAAATATGGATGACATTTAAAAGCAGGGTAGGTATTTTCTACAAAATCACAAGAGACAAGAGAGAACAGAATGTGGTTTTTATTTATTTATTTTAAAAACCAGACAGCGGCCTAAGTTTGGGAATTCTCATGATTCCAACCACCATGCTTCTGTAGTTAAATATTTATGTGGTCCCAATTGTGTGCTAGCTGAGCTAAATTAATAATAATAACAATAAAAATAATTGTATACCACCCTTCATCTGAAGATGACAGGGCGGTTCATAACATAAAAATACAAAATGAGAACACAAAATACATAATAAAACAAAACTAAAACAAACTAATATTCCCCCTCCCATGAAAACATTTTAAAAGTGATAGAATGTTAATAAGCCAAACACCTGGTTGAAGAAAAATGTTTTCATCTGGTGCCTAAAGATATGTACTGAAGGTGCAAGGTGAGTCTCCCTGGGCAGAGCATTCCACAAACAGGGAGCCACCACAGAAAAGGCCTCTTCTCATGTTGCCACCTTTTGGATGACTCATGGAGAAGGACCTCAGATGATCCCATCCTGCATAGCAGGCTGAAATTCAACAGGGACAACTTTTCCTAGCATGGAGATGGATGGGGAAAGAGCTATATCTGTTGAATGTATGCCTGAAAACAAAAGTATGGCAATCATACATATCAGAAATATGCTAATTATTCCCTACTTTCAATTTTCAGTCAAAAATTATGACTTTAGTGATGTGGAAATTTCTTCAGCAAGCACTTGCATTCACTTTTTCTGATCAGCACCATTGATTCTCTTGACTATTACGATTTTGGAGCATTTTTTCCAATGGTTGATGTGTCTTCCTCAGTCCTAGACTGGTCGCATTGGTAATCCCATGAAATCAAAGATCATGAAGTAACGACAACATGATGTTATGTAGTCTATAAAATTCATGTGCAAGATGAAGAGCAAGGAAGGGCAAGGGCAAGTGGAAGCAATTTGAATGAATAAGGAAACATTTTCACAGGAAGTGTTGAAAAATAATTGAAACAGGAGTTGAAAATGATGGGGGGAAGTGACTAGTTTGGGGCTCAGCCATAAAAATATAGATTTTCCATATTCATACATTGTCTTATTATGTGATTCATCTCTGCCGTCGTGCTCCCTGTCTTTTCAAAATAGGCTCAAATGGGTTCTTGACATTTTCTGTAATAATCAACAGCAGGTCTGCACAGACTAGACTTTTAAAATTCAGCTTTTGCAGCATCATGAAGAGAAATCATGAAACAGTAACTGATTGTGCTGCCTTTTAGAGTTTGGAGTGTGATGGAACACCCAGATGGAGAGACTTGGTCAACACCACCAATTAAGTATGCAGTGGAAATATGAAATCATAAATTATAAATTTATCCATGGTTAAGCAGAGCCCAAGAGTTAAGGAAAAAATAGCTTCATATTAAAACCACAGCACAAGCATGGCTTTGAAGTGCTTCCTGATAAGACTGTAGCCTTACTCAGATGTTATTTAATTGCACCCATGAGTGGTCATGCATACTGACACTGCCCACTCCAAGAGAAGGAGAAGAAATTTTGAGTGGGAGAGACCAGTTAGACTAAAAGCGCCCATGCAAGTAATAAAGGTTGGCCTGTAGGTGGAGAGATAGAGGCAACAAATGCACATTCATTTAGTTACAGTACTACCGAGACAACAGTGGAGAAGAAAAAATAATAGGAGGAGCCCCAGACCATTGTGTTGTAGTGCAGTGGAGACTCTAGCAGGCATGGGGTGTTGATGCTGAAGTAAGAACTCAGAACACTGCTATAATCTACTTTCTCTTTTGCTCTTCCAACCCACTAAGCCTCAGGGTATTTGAAACCTTATCCTTCCTGCCATATTCTTCAGAGCAGGGATTCACTGTCTATCAGAGATATCCGAAGAAAAGCCAGTCTATACTGACCTACACCTCACTGTCTAAATCCAGATTCTTTCTCTGCAGGATAGGGATCATGGGTGAATCACAGCCTCACTTCAGAAGCTTCTTGGTTTCCACATGTTTGACTATAGGAGCATCCAAGGCCCCTAGCAGGCATGAGAGTCAGCTGAGATTTCATGAAGTTGCAAATGGCATTATACAGCTAGCCCTGCTCCCCTTTCCAATGCCATTACAGAATGCTTGGAGAGAGAAGTAATGATAATGAATTCTGTACTGGTCTTTGGCATCACCAATTTCTTGTTTACTGCTGTAGGAAAAGGAATGGCTTCTTTATGATCCATAACCAGTATATGAAACTCTGAGAAAATCAAGAACCTTTCGTATGGAATTTCCACATTTGCATCCCTTAGAATGTTGTTGTTGTTTAGTCGTTTAGTTGTGTCCGACTCTTCGTGACCCCATGGACCAGAGCACTCCAGACACTCCTGTCTTCCACTGCCTCCCGCAGTTTGGTCAAACTCATGCTGGTAGCTTCGAGAACATTGTCCAACCATCTCATCCTCTGTCGTCCCCTTCTCCTTGTGCCCTCCATCTTTCCCAACATCAGGGTCTTTTCCAGGGAGTCTTCTCTTCTCAAGTATTGGAGCCTCAGCTTCAGGATCTGTCCTTCCAGTGAGCACTCAGGGCTGATTTCCTTAAGAATGGATAGGTTTGATCTTCTTGCAGTCCATGGGACTCTCAAGAGTCTCCTCCAGCACCATAATTCAAAAGCATCAATTCTTCGGTGATCAGCCTTCTTTGTGGTCCAGCTCTCACTTCCATACATCACTACTGGGAAAACCATAGCTTTAACTATGCGGACCTTTGTTGGCAAGGTGATGTCTCTGCTTTTTAAGATGCTGTCCAGGTTTGTCATTGCTTTTCTCCCAAGAAGTAGGCGTCTTTTAATTTCGTGACTGCTGTCACCATCTGCAGTGATCATGGAGCCCAAGAAAGTAAAATCTCTCACTGCCTCCATTTCTTCCCCTTCTATTTGCCAGGAGGTGGTGGGACCAGTGGCCATGATCTTCGTTTTTTTGATGTTGAGCTTCAGACCATATTTTGCACTCTCCTCTTTCACCCTCATTAAAAGGTTCTTTAATTCCTCCTCACTTTCTGCCATCAAGGTTGTGTCATCTGCATATCTGAGGTTGTTGATATTTCTTCCGGCAATCTTAATTCCGGCTTGGGATTCATCCAGCCCAGCCTTTTGCATGATGAATTCTGCATATAAATTAAATAAGCAGGAAGACAATATACAGCCTTGTCGTACTCCTTTCCCAATTTTGAACCAATCAGTTGTTCCATATTCAGTTCTAACTGTAGTTTCTTGTCCCACATAAAGATTTCTCAGGAGACAGATGAGGTGATCAAGCACTCCCATTTGTTTAAGAACTTGCCATAGTTTGCTGTGGTCGACACAGTCAAAGGCTTTTGTATAGTCAATGAAGCAGAAGTAGATGTTTTTATGGAACTCTCTAGCTTTCTCCATAATCCAGCGCATGTTTGCAATTTGGTCCCTTAGAATACAGATGTCTTATTTTGCAGTTCTGGTGATCATGCACAGTCCCTACAGATGCTCATTAGCATAGCTGTTTTGAGATATAGGAACACAGGGCGCTGTCTTATACCATGTCAGACAGTTTGTTTACCATGGTCAGTATTACGTCTACTGACTGGTAGTGGTTATCCAGATGTGATGGCCTGGGATTTGGACTCAGAGGTTGAACCTGAGGAATCCCAGCCTGCAAAGGAGTCCCCGCCTCCAGAACCAGCTGAGGCAGGGCTGGGGCATGAGCCTGAAGGGTCCTCACCTGTGCTGGATCCTCAGGTGCAGGCACCAGCTGAGTCTGCTCTGGCCCCTGAGGTGATGGAGGACCCATTGCCTGCAGGTGCTCCACTCTCAGCCCCATCAGGGGAAGAGGAGGTTGCCTCTGGGTCCGATAACCCTCCAGCCTCTCCTGAGCTACAGAGGCTCAGGGCAGAGAGGTGGAGGGAACTAAGTTCCTGCAGGAGGAGTGCTCGCCTCCAGGCCAGGAGAGGCGAGTCACCTGTGGACCGGGGTCACCCTATGCCTCGGGGCAGATAAAAGCCAGTCAGCCACAGTCCCAGGTTGCAGGAGCAACGTTGTTGCTAGCCTGTTCCTGCCTGCACCCTGTTCTGCTCTTCTGCCAGTGTTCCTGACCCCACCTGACTCCCTGCCTTGGACCCAGCTACAGCTTTGACGGACAGCCTCCATACCACACCATCGACCTCGAACTGGACTTGGACCTTGCCTCTCTGTTAGCCCCCAGGACCAGCACACCAGGATTTCAGGCAGGGCTTCCCCCCCCCCCCCAGCTCTTCTTGGAGATGCCAGGAAATGAACCTGGGACGTCTGCATGCAAAGTACATGCTCTACCACTTAGCTATGGCCTTCTCCACTATGCACCTGGTTTCCAGTACATTCGATTTTACCAAGTCTTAATGACACTTAATACTTGGGAAGGCTGCTCTTTTGGGCGAATCCTACTTTGCTGCTTATTTCTCAAGTGAGCTAGGCTTCTCTGTTCAGACTGCTTGCTATGCATAGCATGGTGCTGCTTTTTCCTAGGGTGGTAACTTTAAATGCAAAAATCACTGGTTTTCTATCCTCTCTGAAAATGCTCAGGGTTTTCTTTTTAAATGAAAACAACCTAAAAACACTAAATTAGGAAACTCCCCAAATCCTCTTGGCATCTTACTTCAAACAGGAGAACAAGTCGTCTGCAGTTTAGATTTAAAATTCACATTGCTGTACTGTATTTTGATTTTCTCTGCATAAAAATGCTGTATTCCTTTATTAAACAAACCAAATTGGACAATATTACTTGCTACACAGTCCTTTGTGATGGAAAATCATCTGCTGCTAGATTATTTTAGAGTGAAACAAGTTAATTTTTCAGAAATATTGTCACATTCTTACATTAAATATTTCTTTCTGTTGCAAAATACCACTTCTGTGTAAATCTTGATTGAATCCCAAGCCTCAGGCTTCAGCTTCTTTCTAGATTAGCCAAGTGCATTGCGTCTATTTAACCATTAGCTTTTATTGAAGGATAGATGAATATCTGTCCCCCAAGAATAGTGAATTAGCTACTTCCCTGTAGCAAAGTATTCACCTTTTATTTTTACTATTCAATGGAAATACTATAAGTCCAACTTGCACATTACAATTGAACAAGTAATATGGTATAATCTTAAGAAATTTATAGAAATACAATGTAATAAATAAATTCTTGTTTTCATGTATGGAAAACCAGAAGAATTATCAGAATTAATAAATGATGACAAATGCATATTAATAAAACAGAAAAATAAAAGTCTGTAAAACATATCACTGATAGCTTCAACTGGGAAACGGGAGGGAGTAATTTTTAAAAATGTTCAAAACATTTCAGTGGCAGATTTCAAAGGCAGACTTTTTTAAAAAAATTGTGTACATTTAAGCACAGCTAAAACCTTTGGATCCTAAACCTGTACAGTTTGCTATCGCTGGGGTGCAACCCTATCTGAGAGCAACAGAGCAACCTAACCCCTCCCCGATGTGGATGGTGAGCTGGGATGGAGGTGGAAGGAGAAAGTTTGCTAGTGGGAAACAATTATTATTGGCATGTCTGAAAGTTGCTTAAATTAGTCAACTCTTTGATTACTGTAAACATAGTGACTTGATAACTGCCTTTTGCTACCATAGGCTCCAGCACATAACCAAAACAGAGACTACCTTTGTGGCCCCATTTATGATTTTTAGGTTATTTGTGCAGGCTTAAAAACTTTGATCTGTTTTATTGGTTGTTTGGTTTTTTGCTATAGGCAACCTCTGTTGTATAATCTCTGTAACCAAACAGTGTGAACGTTTTTAAATCTTTACTCTTACTGATGGGAGTTTGTCTCTCCCACCTCTCACTGGGTGGTTTTGAAGGCAGAACTGTCTGCTGCTCAGCTTCAACATACTTGTCTGCCTATATAATTGGAAGAAGAGTTTCTGTAGAAGGCTATACCACAGTGGGGGAGATTGGCCTTCTTTAGAAGGAGATACCAACAAAAAAACATTCTAACACAGTCTTATTTCACAGCTTGCATGTGTTCTGTCTTCTTACGTGCCACGATCACCCTCAAAGACAATCATACCTAGTAATTAAAGTATTTCCATCACCAATAGCTCAGGGAGAAACAATTAGGAACACAGGAAGAAACACAGGGTGTTGCTTTATTCTGAGTCTGACAATTGGTCCAGCTAGCTAAGTATTGTCTATAATGACCAGCGGCAGCTCTCCAGAGTTTCCGCCTGTCCTAACTTGGAGATATTGAGGACTGAACCTGAGCTACACTCTTTCCCTAACAAACAGAAATTCAATAACATTGCACCACAGCGGGGGGGGGGGGGAGGCTGCCTTGTACCACATCAGACCCTTGGTGAAACTAAAGCTATATTGTTTACACTGACTGACTGACTGACTGACTGACTGAAGCTCTCTAGGGTTTCAAACAAGAATCGTTTCAGGGCCCAATTCCTCACCTTGAATGACATGGACCCAGCCCAACCCAGACCCTGAGATGGGGAGCTTGTACAGCCCTAGATATTTAAATCCTAATTCAATATGTTGTTGGCATGAGGAGAGGAGGAAGAGAAAGACAGAGAGGCAAGCAGAAACTCTTATCTCTGCCTCTCCACCCCACCCACTCTACATGTGTAATTGTAGGATGCAGGTGGCGCGATGGTCTAAACCACTGACCCTTTTGGGCTTGCTGATCAGAAGGTTGGCGGTTTGAATCCTTGCGACAGAGTGAGTTCCCGTTGCTCTGTCCCAGCTCCTGCCAACCTAGCAGTTCAAAAGCACACCAGTACAAGTAGATAAATAGGTACCGCTGCAGCGGGAAGGTAAACAGTGTTTCTGTGAGCTCTGGTTTCTGTCACGGTGTTCCGTTGCGCCAGAAGTGGTTCAGTCATGCTGGCCACATGACCTGGAAAGCTGTCTGTGGACAAACGTTGGCTCCCTCGGCCTGAGTGCCGCACCCCATAGTCACCTTTGTCTGGACTTAACCGTCCAGGGGTCCTTTACCTTTGCATTTGTAATCAGGGTTTTAAACCTAATTAAATGTGGCAAGGAGGAGCGGAAAGAGGGAGAGGCAAGAGTCTCTTGCCTATGTCTCCTTCTCCTCTCCCAGTTGAATTGCTGTGGATCACATGTTTAATTAGGGGCTTAAATCTTGATTAATCAGGCAGTCATCCAAACACAAAGCCCTTTGACAGCCCTGAATCACTCCAGGTAAACCTAACCTGGGAGGTGTCTTGGTCCACTCTATTGGATTGACCTGGATCAGTTTGGGATCCAGGATTTGTCTAGAGCCCTATTTCCTAATTTCTAGATGCTGGGGATTGAACCTGAGATGCTCTACCACTGTGCAATGGTGTATATACAAGATGAAATATTGAAAGAAATAAAAACTGGCATAATATAACATCTGGACTGGATTCAGATATAGTCATAGCTGAGAGCGCTTTATTATGAGAATGGTTAGAAACAAAGAATAGAGTGAACAGTTTAAAGGGGGGCTCAGTAGTAAACAAGAAGCACTTCTGAAACACCTTTCTTGTATCTTAAAAAGCAGCAGAGCAATAGAGGAAACCACAGTGCATTGCTTCAAAAGCTGATAGCCAGAGCAGTACCAGAGATAGGTCACTGATGTTGTAATGATAGTAACTCAAAACCAGTTCCACAACAATAGGCAACTTTTTCTCTCTCTTACATTCCACCACATACCAAGGCTTGTGAAACTAAATCCTTTTCTGATAATTCCTAGGCAACAGCCAGGTTCTCTACCTGGTCATTAACATTATGAGATCTGATCTCATATATATTCTAATAGTTAAGGCACCTCAGATGTTTATTATTGGCAAACTTCTCATATGAGAAGAAATAGCCAGAAAACGCTGGGGGATCTTTGGTTTCCACTAAACTACAGAAATGCAGGTGTGATGAAAACACTTTGTAATTCCTACTCTACCCAAGATGTTGATATATGTATGTCACAGAGAATCTTTAACCCTTCAGATGTTCGGCTCCAGTTTCCGTCACCTCCTGCCATTCCCATTCAAGATTCCAGTAGCCAAATGCCGGATCGCAACGACTATAATAGCCTGTATCATCTTTGTTAACATATCACTTGCAAATTTTAGGAATAATGCCGATAAGCCATTTTCATATAAACTAAATCTTTGTAACTATATTCCAAACCCGAAAGCGTCAAAGCATATTGCTGGATATGATTAACAAAGTGACAGGATCCAAAATGGTCTATGCTGGCATAGTGAAGCCTTTAGACAGCAACAAGTAATGTCTGCTCTTTCAGCACAGTACATGCAGCAACAGGTATCCTCTAAACCACATTGGACCACATGTTGCTGTTTTTCTTCATTAACAATAGTGCAATCCTATACAGAGTACATGAACCCCATGAAGTTTAATGGGACACATCTGATGCAGCACAATCCTGTACATGTTTTCTTGTAAGTAATCCCCATTGTGTTCATTGGCTTACTACCAAGTAACTGCATTTTGTGATTGGAACCTGGGGAGAAATTTGATTCAGTTTGCAGTTAAAGCTGAACTTAGGAAATTTGCACTTTCCAAAAACAGCCATCTTTCAAAATTCAAACTTTTCTAAATTTTGAAGGGCAGCTCTCCAGCCAAGCAATAAGCACAAAACCATCATATTAGGGTAAAGTATGCCTATAAATGAATATATTAGTGAAAATAACATAACCTAATGCATTTTATTAGGAGAAATTGCTTGCAAAAATGTGTAAATTTGTCAAAACGGCATATGGAAGTGTGTCTGTTAGGAGAAATTCACAGTAAAATGCTGAATATTTTTTGTAAGGTGCTGAAAAGAAACGAAACAGCAAATTACTGCAGAAATGTACATAACTGAATTTGAGATGGGGAAAATGTTAAACCGAGACAACCAAAAATTTACTGATTTGTGCATCCCCATAGGTGGCTTCAGTTCTCAATGGAACAGCATCTAACTTAGCTAGTAATAGATGCAAAACGGATAGAACATTTTGTTATGTTCTTGAGATGCTAGTGTGCAATGGATTGCGATGAAAGCAAAGTATGTTGTCACGTCTTCTCTTTTTTAAGGAAAAAAAAGGTTAAAGAACTTGAAAATGAAGCAAGAACACAAATATTCCGACTGACATCTGGCTATTTGGCAAACTCCCCTGGCAGACAGGTTGCCAGTTATGAAATTATCTATCTGTCTGTCAACATGGTTAGCTTGTGGAAAAGCTGTCAGATACTCCAGGCTACCTTGTAAAAAGTGTCAAACTGGAATTTGTGGAATCATGTCATTCCTTTGCCTGCTGTTAGCCAATATATAGTGAATAATATGGATGTG